ACCCAAAGTTGGGTTGAAACAACCCAGCATTTTTTAGAGTGTACCGTATACTTATGCAGGATTAATTTACCTATCAGAGCATTTTTTTTCCCCAAGTGGGTTTGTCTGTATTTAATTTGCTTTACAAACTATTGTTATTATGCTGGACTTGACAATTGCAAGACCCTAAAATACAGTTTTTGTTTTTTTTGACCCTTTGTCATCCATGGTGGCACACGTTTTCCAATAATTACTTATTATTCACTGTAGCACGTTTCTGAGGAGATTATACTGAGATTAACCGTTGCAACATTAAGTGATTCTGTCATTTAACTCACATTTGTATCTGCGACCTACACTCATTATAGGAATAATGTTGTTTTTTAATCCCTATCTCACATGCCGTCAACTGAGTTTCACAAGAACACACACAGCTTTCAATGTTTCACATTTGAGCAGTGGTCATTATTTTCTTCTGTCTTTTATCTTTCTATGTTCTACCCTCTAAATCTTGAATGATTTCCATTTAAGCTTCAACTGGGGGAAAAAAAAAATTTAAGACCAGCACATAAGCCATTAAGCCTTTTTCCCATGAAACCAACTTTGGCAGCTGATTTTATCTTATCTGTCTTTTTCCTTTGTGCATTCTCTAAACACAGTCCAGAGCACTTTAACAAAAGCACTGCACACATTTTACAAACAGCTTAATTGTTTTTCTGTGCTTTATATAAAATGACATAATATTTCTATAGCTTCAACATAATTTGTTTTACTATAGTAATTTGAGGGACCTCATACATTAAAAATGGACTGTTTAAAGGTCACAGAGTGTATGCATCATGTATGCACACTTTCTCAGATATTTTTATGTTGATTGCTTTATAAAATTAGATTTGGATTGGACTAGAAGGAGAGGACAAACTCGATATGGAATAGTGTATAAAAAGCTCTAGTTTAACTAACTATGAATAAGTGGCTCTCTGCTCTAGCAGTACTGTATGTGTAGATAAGTCTATGTATAGGAATGCTCTGCAGCAAATCAAATAAATATAGCGTCACTCTTAAAAGCAGCCAACACTGGCAAAACAATTTTAAGATCTTTTCCCCAAAAACTCTGTGAACTAGAAGAACAGCATATCTCTCTTTACCCATGCATGGCAGACATTTAGTAATTAACGGTAAGTTAATTCCCAAACCACCCGGTACAAATATGACCAGCTTGTTCTGGCATGAGAACTGTACTGTTCCTGTGGTAATTTTGGGAACTGAAAATTAAATGTTGGGTTTTCTCTCTCAAAAACCTCTTATTTTACCAAACCTTTGTTATGAACTTAGAAATTCACATTTGGTCCATTTGATACAGTACAGGTGCATCTCAATAAATTAGAATGTCGTGGAAAAGTTAATTTATTTCAGTAATTCAACTCAAATTGTGAAACTGAGAAAAAGGTTGTTGCTGCTGAATATATGTGCAGATATGATGGTGATAACATTCTTTTAAACCTGTAGGTGAACGATGTTGTCCATGCTTTTGCTAAGCATGTGTTTCTGGGTCTTCTCAGCCACAGCGTCTTTCGATTACGTTTACACTGGTGCGTATTCATTATGTAAATTACATATTAAAATTGTTAGTATTCTTGAAAACCTCATTAACCTGGATATGTCATCACAGAGCCTGAAAACACTCTGAGTGTCAGCATACCCAATGAGCTTCCTCTCCGGCCTCTGATGGGTGACACATTAGTTCTGCCCTGCTACTTCCAGGACGACACAGTCAATGACCCTGGTGCCCCCACCATTGCCCCTTTGTCTCACCGGATCAAATGGAGTCTGGTCACCAAGGAAAAGACCACAAACATTTTAGCGGCATCTGAAGTAGTAGTAAGCATCGACAAAAAGTATCTGGATAGGATCACCATGGTTGGATACCCTATGACACCCACAGACGCCTCCATTAAGGTCACTGAGCTCCATTCCAATGACTCGGGAGTGTACCGCTGTGATGTCATGAATGGGATAGAGGATGGTCATGATATTGTTGACGTTCAAGTTCAAGGTACTGTTTGTGTGAAGATCCTTAAAGAGAATATTACTTTATGACTGTGTGTGTGTGTTTTGTTTTGTTTTCTCAGAAATATGAAATTGATGTACTTATTTTGCTTAGGTATTGTTTTCCACTATCGTGCAATCACCACACGATATACCCTTACTTTTGAGAAGGCCAAGGCAGCCTGTATTCAAAACAGTGCAGTGATTGCTACGTTTTGTTTTGTTTTCTCAGAAATATGAAATTGATGTAGTTATTTTGCTTAGGTATTGTTTTCCACTATCGTGCAATCACCACACGATATACCCTTACTTTTGAGAAGGCCAAGGCAGCCTGTATTCAAAACAGTGCAGTGATTGCTACTCCAAAGCAACTCCAAGCAGCATATGATGAGGGATTCCACCAGTGTGATGCTGGCTGGCTTGCAGATCAGACCGTCAGGTCAGTTACCTTTAATCTAAAAAATTTCCTGGTAAATTTACGGTAAAAATGGCAGCTGAGGTGTCCAGAAATTCACCCTAAAAATACAGTGAAAATGTTTCAGGTATTATAGTAAGGCATATTGGTGGATGTATATTTTACAACTTATATTTGTTGATATATCAATCTACATGAAAATCTGCTTTTTATCTTAAAATGTACTGATAACCACCATAATAGCACAGGTGGTTCGAGAAAAAGTCACATGATGAATCAGAATTCATTATAAGTGGCCTGTCCATAAAACATGGCCAATATTTTTATGTAGATGATGCACATACACAAGACAAAAAATGTCACTGGATTGATGCAATAAACATTAACTAAACAACAGAAAATGTAACACAAAACTCCCTAGTTTACATGACTGATAACAAAAATAAGATGAAACAAAATTGTTCATATAAAATATAATGTTAAGAAATATATAATGTGATGTGTGATGCAGGTACTTCTGGGAATGTCCTTTTATTGTTTTTCACTAAATTATAATGTAATTCATAGTTTTTACTTTCAAAAACTCTAAATTTGACAGTATTTTACAGTAAAATTACATTTAATGCAATGACAAAACATTTACAGTTTTTCACCGTATAATGTATAGTAAAGTAACTTACAGTTAACCAATTAACAGGTTTACTGTAGATTTTTTTCCTGTAAAAATGACATACTTTTTTTTTTAACAATGCATATTTAGTTAATGCTCTATAATTTTGCTTGAAAATGTGATAATATAATAGATAATATCATCTGTTTTTGGAAAAAAGGTACCCTATTCATGATCCTCGTGAGGCTTGCTATGGAGACAAGTACCAATTTCCAGGAGTGAGGACATATGGAGTAAGAGACGTGAAAGAGACGTATGACGTGTACTGCTTTGCTGAGAAAATGTCAGGTACATGTTTGAGATGGCAGAAAACTAAATGCCTTCTTTGAAAAACTTCTTTTGAAAAATGCTAAAAAAGAAACTTTTGTTTCGTCTTACAGGAAATGTGTTCCACACTACTTCCCCTAACAAATTCACTTTTGAGGAGGCAGAAGCTGAGTGTACAAAGCTGGGTGCCAAGTTGTCCACCACAGGACAGCTGTACCTGGCATGGAAGGGTGGTATGGATGTTTGTAATGCAGGCTGGTTGGCAGACAGGAGTGTCCGCTACCCCATCAACATTGCCCGACCGCAGTGTGGGGGTGGCCTGCTGGGAGTGCGAACCGTCTATCTGTTTCCCAATCAGACTGGTTACCCTCTCTCAGACTCCCGCTATGATGCATTTTGCTACTCTGGTAAAAAATGATCTATTATTTCGCTATTCCTTATTTATAATTTATGATTGTCCATCCACAAACATATGTGACCCTGGACCACAAAACCAGTCATAAGGGTCAATTTCTCAAATTGAGATTTATATAACATCTGAAAGCTGAATAAATACTCTTTCATGTATGGTTTGTTGGGATCGGACAATATTTGGCCAAGATACAACTATTTGAAAATCTGGAATCTGACGGTGCAAAAAAATCTAAATATTGAGAAAATCGCCTTTAAAGTTGTCCGAATTAAGTTCTTAGCAATGCATATTACTAATCAAAAATTACGTTTTGATATATTTACAGTAGGAAATTTACAAAATATCTTCATGGAGCATGATCTTTACTTAATATCCTAATGATTTTTGGCATAAAAGAAAAATCGATAATTTTGGCCCATACAATGTTTTTTTTCTACAAATATACCCCAGCGACTTAAGACCCAGGGTCCAGGGTCACATATATATATATTTGTGATTGTTTTATCCTTATTGATCCATTTAATCCACAATAATTAACAGCTGGTGCTAACTGATCAGGTACTGATCAACAGGTGTATATTGTTCATATATTCTTTTTATTTAGAAATGGGTGAGGAGGGTTCTGGCTTATTGCCATTTGACATAGAGACGACCACAGAAGCCGGCAGCGGTGTCCTGAGCGTGGACACAATCACAGAAAGCCCCCAGGTGTTTTTAAAGCCCACATCCACAATAAGTGAACTGAAGGGAGAAGTTGTAACATATAAGCCCTCAGTGACCACTAGTGTCGAGTTCCCATATACTGCACTAAATATTTCCCAGCTGCCCCTTTCACCCCCTCCCAGCTCTGCTGAGGTGGTTACGGACATTGTGGAAGGGATAACTGACAGGACTGATCTTGGTTCTGATTTATCCCATTTGAATAAAACCGAAGCTGTCATGCCTGCCACAGGTATGTATCAATGTGGGAATATACAGTAAAAATGTATGTGTTCAGCATTATTCTGTTGTTCTCTGTGATTTGACATATGCATGTAATAATAACTGCAAAACACCACAATTTATGGTTAATATTAATTATGTATTCTTATTTATTACTGTGTCCCATTTTATGTATCTCATTCATGGTGGCTTCAGTTCCTTTAGTTCACGTTATAGTTTTTGCATAATCAAATTTATCATGACAACAACAAACACGAAGACCAATGCATTTTATGAGGGTTACACTGTTCCTCTTTCAGGTCCACCTGTTTTTTCTGTGAATAATTGATAAAAAAATTTCCACAAAAGTTGTATTATGGCTTCAGAATATTTACTCGAAGTGTATGGGATAATTTTATGGTACTTTTTAATCCTTTGGAACAATATGCTGGGACAAGTGGGTCTCTGACAATAACACTGTTAAAGATAAATCATGAAAATGCATGATTTTACTGTTATTGTCATCAACATCAGTGTATTGTTTCAGTTTTATAACCCTGTTTTTTTTTTCATACTCAAGTTAGGTAAGTTAGATAAATCTGTTGACACCCATTGTTAATAATTCTCTCTGCAGGGGTGGTCTTCCATTATCGTGCAAGCTCCGGTCGTTATGTCTTTGACTTTGTCGAGGCTCAACTGGCATGCCAGAGCATCGGTGCAGTCATTGCTAGTGCCCAGCAACTGCAGGCAGCCTATGAGTCTGGTTACCATCAATGTGATGCTGGCTGGCTGTTAGATCAGACAGTCAGGTACGATTCATTGCACTATTGTAACATTGTGATGAACTGTTCAATTTTTTTATTAAATTTTTGGTGTCTATTTTTATTTCTAATGTTTTCATTTATATATTTACCATACATAAACTTATAAGTATAAAGCAAAATATTTGTGGCAGGGTTGATGACAAATGATTGTAGTGGAATTATCTGCTTCATATTGCAATACTATATGTTTACAAATGTATGTAAATAATGATTATGCAGGTATCCCATTGTGTCTCCACGTGAGAAATGCTCTGGTGATTTGGAGCATGTTCCTGGGGTGAGGTCTTATGGACTGCGTTCTGCCAATGAACACTATGATGTGTACTGCTATGTGGACAAACTACGGGGTAAGATCATTTACATCAATATATAAAAACAGCTATGTGGTCAAAGGGTAGGTAAATACATATAAATGACCTAAATTTTAAGTTTCTGAGAGTAATACAAAACAAGAAAAAAATTATTGGATTCTCTTGTGGGATAAAGAATTACTCTGAATCACTGTGTAGCTTGAGTTTTAAAGTAAATGTTCACTTTTTCAGGGGAGGTGTTCCATGCACGTTCATTTGAAGGATTCACTTACGATGAGGCAGTGGCTTACTGCCAGGGCCAAAATGCCTCCCTGGCCTCCACAGGAGATCTGTATGCTGCTTGGAAGCAGGGCTTTGGTAAGTGCCGTGCTGGCTGGCTTCTTGACCACAGTGTACGTTACTCCATCAGTAACCCGTGGCAGCAGTGTGGTGGAGGGAAGGCTGGAGTTCACACAGTTTACAAGTTTCCCAACCAGACTGGCTCTCATGACCTGCACTCCAAATTTGATGCATACTGCATCATGGGTAAATACATCTACAGTATAGTTACAGTATATACAGGCCTTAAATAGTAGATTCCTTGAAATGTAAAACATTTAGTCTGTTGAGTGTTTATACAACATACATTATTCTTTACATATTTGTAATTTTTTTTATTTATATATAGTGGATCTGGATCTGTCTCTGAATGAAAGTGAACCAAATATGACGGTGACAGAGGAAAAGATAGTGAGCGTGACATCCCTCCCTGCTCTTCTCAAACCTGGTAATATATTGTATTTCAGGATACATAAATGAGTCAATGCTAAAAAAAGATTAAGAAATATGCATGAATCATACATAAATTATACATCTGAATAATTATTAAAAAAAAATGTTCAAATATATTGTTTATGGTTAATATATATTAATTCATAAATATTACTAGGTTTTGAGGAATAATACCCTGTGACATTTTTACAACCTGAACTAACCTTGCCTTAGCATAAAAAGTGAAATAAAAGTCAAATTGTCTGATCAATGAACATTGACACACAATTGATGAGGGTCTGCAGGGGTCCTCTCATTTCCTGTTTAATCAATTTTTCTGCATGTTTTTTTTTCTTAATTTTGATATCAGGACAGCATCAATGTAATATTTTTGACTTTATCCCCCCCTCCCTTCAAATAAAAAAGAAACAGAAATAATTAAAAACCTGAGTGAAAATGTGTATTTATAAGGATAGTTCACCCAAAAATGAAAATTATGTTATGATTTACTCTCTGGTACCCTCATCTGATTCCAAACCTGTATAACTCTCTTTCTTCTGAAAAACACAAAAGAAGATCATTTGAAGAATGTTGGTAACCAGAATTGGCTTCCATTTTATGGACAACCCCCCCCGAGTGAACTATCCCTTTAAGTCATTGTACAGATGAATTGCATTTTGAATGTATTTTAATGCAAGATGAGTGTTAATTTTGGTGCAGTACCTTAGATTCTGCCTGTATCTGTGTTTCCTCAGAAGGAACCACTCCTACTACTATCCCTGCAGAACCCTCTGGATCTGGCGCATCTGGGGCCAGTGGCACTGATGATCCTTTGAGCAGTGGGAGCGGGGATCAGTCGAGTGGATCACCTGTTTCAAGTGGAGACTCTTCTGGGGCCAGTGGCACCGATGATCTGTTGAGCAGTGGGAGCGGGGATCAGCTGAGTGGATCACCTGTTTCAAGTGGAGACTCTTCTGGGGCCAGTGGCACCGATGATCTGTTGAGCAGTGGAAGCGGGGATCAGCCGAGTGGGTCATTTGTTTCGAGTGGAGACTCTTCTGGAGCCAGTGGCACTGGCGGTCTGTTGGGCAGTGGGAGCGGTGATCAGCCGATTGGGTCATTTGTGTCAATTGGAGACTCCTCTGGGGCCAGTGGTAGTGGGGATCTGCCAAGTGGATCTGGAGGCTCATCAGGATCTGGCAGTGGCTCAGATATCCAAGTGACCTTTTTAGGAAGTGACTCTGTTTTATCAGGAGTTGAATCAGCTTCAAGACGACCTAAGGAGGCTGGAGAGGCAGGCACAGAGATCCTCACCTTCCCCCTTGGCCAGGGCTCAGGCCTCTTCGGACTGGACACCTCTGGATCGGGATCAGGGAGTTGGTCAGGGTATAGCTTTGAAGAGAGTGGCTCTACCTCAGACTTTTCCAGCAGCTCAGAAGAAAGCGACGAGAGTGGAGACCTTTCTGGCATCTCTTCAGGATCAGGTTCCAGTGAGGAATCCTCAGGATTCAATGGTTTTCCATCAGGATTTTTTCCCTCTGGAGGATCCAGTGGCATTTCATTCATCGATGGCAGTGGTGTCATGGTGGATAGCTCATGGTTGAAGGTGTCCACTGCTCCACATTTAATAGAACAAGAGCTGGGTGGAAGCCATTTGGATTTTAGCAGATCAGGACATATCTCAGAGTCTGGGGTGAGCGGTGATATCTCTGGGATGAGTGGTGATATATCTGGAGATAGTGGTGTTCACAGTAGCTCTGGGAGTGGTTTAGAGTTTTCTGGTCTGACATTTTTGGGGTCGGGCTTCATTGATCTCAAAGAACAATCTCGTGAGCAGGAAGCTTCTGGACTTTTGCTGTTTGGGTCTGGTGAGGGAAGTGGATTTACATCTGGAGGCTATGCCACTGAATCAGGAGAAAGATCAGGGGAATCAGCTAGCGGTGAGATCATCTTCTTCACTAATAATGGCATGGTGGAAATGTCCAACAAGCCCTTCCAAAGCATGGAGCTAGGAAGGGGGGAGGTGGAGTACAGTGACACTGTCAGGGTGTCCTCAGGGAGTGGAGACGACCAAAGTGCCTATGGTAGTGGACAAGAACACGAATGGATCCCAGTTACTGAAGATACGCCAAAAGTGAACTCCAGTGATGCTCCTTCAGCTGTACTATCTGCTCAAGGGCCATCTGGCCTCTACAGTGATGCTGCAGGACCTCCAGTGCTTTATTCAGAACCAGAGGGGACCACGAGTAAACTTGAAACTGTTACTTCTGCAGTTTTGTCTTCTACCACAGAACCTATTTCTTTACAGAGCCCTTCTGTCACAGAAGGACTTGCTGTGAATGGTGAGATTCCCATTGTGTAAAATTTGTTAAAATATAGAATAGAGAGACATGACATATCAGTACCATATCCGTTATTGGCCAATATTAATGATTTGTTGTGTATACAATTTTTATATTGCTTATTTATTGTTATCATAGCGTGAAAATAATGGTTAACTCATTGGTGCATCATATGGAAATCTATTTCTTCTCACTTCTTGAGACATAAACTGCTCCTTTTCATCATGTTTAAATGTGTTGCTCTCTTTCTTTCTCAAAAAACATAATAGCTTCTCTTAACCCATGTGAACCAAACCCTTGTGGAGCTGGGGTGTGTTCAGTGAAGGATGGGGTGGGCGTGTGTTACTGCCCACCTGGACTGCATGGAGAAGAGTGCCAGTTTGGTGAGTCAGACTGAATTGACCCAGTTATTGAATCAGTCACATAAATTATGATTACTTTTTAAAATGTTGGATTTTGATTATTGGACATTTTGACAAACATTTTTATTATGAAAAGCCATCCTGTTTGCCTATAACAGCTGTTGTTGCTTTTTAGGCTCATATTTATCTTCAAATGAATCAAATGTCTCTAAGTGTCTCAATGTTTTTGCATTTTATTTGTGAATAACTTCTGTTCAGTTTGCTCTTGCCTGATTGATGTCCTCACAGTCCATTTTACAGGTTATGTGTCTCGTGTGTGTGATTAAATACTTTTCAACTTACTCCGCTCTTGTGTCCAGATGTCTTTTCAGTGACTGTTCACCTGTGTTGTTTTTGTTCAGCTGTGCCTTTGCTGCAGTCTGGTTTAATCAGCACGCCTTCTAACACCTGGTACATGCTCATACTTCTAGTCCATCATCTTCATATGAATCTGAACTCTAAAATTCTGCTTCTGTTTCTGGAACTGTAAGAGTGCTGATCTGCTCTCCGCATGAGAGGCATAAAAACTGATCCAGGTCAGCGCTCTTACAGTAACTACAACTGACTCTGATCTCTCCTTCAATGTACCACAATTTACTAGGTCTCTCTTCTCAGCTTATCAAAATATCGATGCTATAATTACTCAAGAGATTTGTTTAGAAGCAGCTCCAAGAGTTCTGATTCAATGCTCTCTGCTAAGCTTGGCCTTCCTCAGGGCATCTTCATAGTAGTCAGCTTTAATCGCTAAACCTTTATTTGCAGAGGTTGATGTTTGCCATTCAAATCCTTGTGCCAATGGAGCCACCTGTGTGGAGGTGGAGGACACTTTCGAATGCTTATGTCTGCCCAGCTACGAAGGAGACCGCTGTGAGATTGGTATGAGGCTGCTTCAGCTAATTCTACTAACAGTCTTTCAAAAACAACCTTAAAGGTGACATACGACTATAGATGTCGCTGAATGAAAGTCCCTGGAAACAGAGCATATGTGTGTGTTGAGTAGGGATTGGTGAGTTTTTTTTTTTTTTGTGAGTTTTGCCAGTCCTTTTATAGAAATCTGTTGCAGTTAAACATCAGCGTCATTCAGTATGCAATGATGCTTTTGCAGGTACTGTAAAAATATAGCAAGAAACTACAACCTTTTTAGTAACTCAGAAAGGAAGAGGCTGAGGTAAACAGAAAGTGACCAGTTCATATTTTCCATCTGAGCAGCGACTAGAAATAACTCGTTTGTTCATTTTCTGCTGGATGTTTCTCTTGGCTTAATATATGGAATTTAATCATCTGTCTTCTGGAATACTTACGATTGTGGAAAATCACTTTATCTGATAAGCTGATATTATGCCACGTAAAAGGCATTTGTCACTTTCTTAAAACACTGGTTTTAAACACTGAAAGATAAAGTGACTTTATCCAAATCCCTCAGCACATTCCATCATACATTTGTCATTTGTTTCTTATTTGCATGTACAACAAGTATTAAAGGGATAGTTCACCCACAGATGAAAGCTGTGTAATCATTTACACACCCTCATGTTGTTCCAAGCCCATAAGCTTTTCATTCATCTTTGAAACACAAATGAAGATATTTTTTAATTAAACCTGAGAGATTTCTGTCCCTCCATTTAAAGTCTATTCCACTGACTCCACAAAATGTGTGAGAATCAGGTTTGTTATCGTTTTTGGTGGTATGGACTTTAAATGGAGGGACAGAAATCTCTCAGGTTTCATCAGAAATATCTTTGTGTTTCAATTAACAAAAGTCTTATGGGTGTGGAACATGAGGATGAGTAAATTAAGACAGATTTTTCATTTTTGGATGAACTAAGCCTGTGTCAGGGACAATTACATCTCGCAAAAGTGGTCTAAAAAGAATATCTTGTGAAACAGTGGTGAAAATGCCATGTGATGTTGCTTCAGATGTGCACAGCTGTGAGGAGGGCTGGACTAAGTTTCAGGGCAACTGTTACTTGCATTTCTCGACGAGAGAGACCTGGTTGGATGCTGAGCAGCGCTGTCGAGATTTAAACGCTCACCTGGTGAGCATTATCACTCCAGAGGAGCAAGCCTTCATCAACGGTGAGTGTGTGTCTGTACGTGTGTTGAAGTTTCTAAGTATCTGTGTTGTTTTTCTGATTACAAACAATCACCCTCTTGTAACAGCATATGCACAAGACTATCAGTGGATTGGACTGAATGATAAAATGGTGGAAAATGACTTCCGCTGGTCAGATGGGACCTCACTGGTAAAGCCTGACTCTTAAGAAGCTGTATTTCTAATAACAGAGAAATCTGATTCAGACACAATGCTGGATGTTACTCTTCCTCTCCTTAGCAATATGAGAACTGGAGGCCTAACCAACCCGACAATTATTTTAACTCTGGTGAAGACTGTGTCGTAATGATCTGGCATGAAAATGGCCAATGGAATGACGTGCCATGCAACTACCACTTACCTTTCACATGCAAAACAGGTCCAGGTATGCACACCAACAAATCACTGTTGAGACCATTTTTCAGATTCAGTTTCAATTTGACTTCCCCTTCTTTCAGTGACATGTGACCAACCTCCTAAAGTGGAGAATGCCAGGATGTTTGGAAACAAGAAGAATCGCTACCAGGTGAATTCTATAATCAGATACCAGTGCAGTGAAAACTTCACACAGCGCCACCTACCTGTGATCCGCTGCATGGCAGATGGACAGTGGGAGAAGACGCAAGTGCGATGCATAGCCAGTAAGCTACTCAAGCATTACCAAAAACATTACCATTACCCGACCATTAAAAAGTTTAGGGTTGGTAAGATTTTGAAATGTTTATGGAAAAGTGTCTTATGCTCACCAAGGCTACCATCTTATGCTCACCATCTTTTGATGAAAAATACAGTAAAACAGTAATATTGTGAAATATTATTACAATTTGAGATAACTGCTATTTTCATATATATTTTAAAGTATAATTTATTAATGTTATGGCAAAGCTGAATTTACTTCAGCTATTACTCCATGATCCTTCAGAAATCATTCTAATATCCTGCAGCGCCACCTACCTGTGATCCGCTGCATGGCAGATGGACAGTGGGAGAAGACGCAAGTGCGATGCATAGCCAGTAAGCTACTCAAGCATTACCAAAAACATTACCATTACCCGACCATTAAAAAGTTTAGGGTTGGTAAGATTTTGAAATGTTTATGGAAAAGTGTCTTATGCTCACCAAGGCTACCATCTTATGCTCACCATCTTTTGATGAAAAATACAGTAAAACAGTAATATTGTGAAATATTATTACAATTTGAGATAACTGCTATTTTCATATATATTTTAAAGTATAATTTATTAATGTTATGGCAAAGCTGAATTTACTTCAGCTATTACTCCATGATCCTTCAGAAATCATTCTAATATCCTGATTTGGTGCTCAAGAAACATTTCTTCTTCTTCAGTGTTGTAAATGTTTGTACTGCTTTACCATAATTCTTTTTTATAATAATGCAAATGTCTTTTCTGTCTCTTTTGATCAATTTAATGTGTCATTGCTGAATAAATGTATTAATTTCTTTAAAAAAAAAATCGTACTGATCCCGAACGTCTTAAGTCGCTGGGGTATATTTGTAGCAATAGCCAAAAATACATTGTATGGGTCAAAATTATCGATATTTCTTTTATGCTAAAAATCATTAGGATATTAAGTAAAGATCATGTTCCATGAAGATATCCTGTAATTAATTTTTGATTAGTAATATGCATTGCTAAGAACTTCATTTGGACAGCTTTAAAGGTGATTTTCTCAATATTTAGATTTTTTGCACCCTCAGATTCCAGATTTTCAAATAGTTGTATCTCGGCCAAATATTGTCCGATCCTAACAAACCATACATCAATGGAAAGCTTATTTATTCCGCTTTCAGATGATGTATAAATCTCAATTTCGAAAAATTGACACTTAAGACTGGTTTTGTGGTCCAGGGTCACAAATGACGTCATATTTTTATCATATTTAATCATATAAGATTTAAAATAAGAATTCAAATAACTATTCCATTAATCTTCATTGAATATGTAATGTTTTTTTAAACATATATTGCATACATTACTATGTAAAAGGTACTGACATGATTTATTTTGTTTTTGTATTTATAGAGGACAAATCTGGACTGCAAAAGGAATCTTCTGTTCATCACTCTCATAAATCTATTGCAACAACATTGGAGAAACATCTCTAAGGAGATTTGAAGAGCTAGAGAGTCGTTTTTAAATCGGTACAAGTTTTATATTTATTTTCCAAGACACTGAATTAAGAAGCATTTGTGATTAAAAAGTGTTATTTTCAAGATAAGTGCCCATCTTGTATATTGCTATATACAAGATATACAAGTATATTGTTATTGGCCATCATCTATGATGCAATGATTCATCTCATCCCTGCAGCAAAATATCAGAGACCAAAAGATCAAAGACCAGCAGCATTCATGTCTGAAGGTTTTCCTTTTGGACCAGCTAGTGTTTTATGTTAAAAGGAAGAGTGGAGCGAAGAGTTGGATGTACCCAGTTTTTCCTCTTTGAAAGACACAAAAACGTTTTTGTCTTTGCTAGTAAGCCAAATTTCAGGTACATGCACAACGTAAATGATGTGACGAAATGTGAAGTATTATTTTCATCTAGTTTATGGAGAGGAGATGTAAGCCTAGAAACATTTATGGCCATAAAAGACATTTACAAATAATCTTATTTATTTCTAATACCTAACCAGAGAGATTAAGAAAACAACTTTCACAAGGATGTCATTACTTTGTTATGTCTGAGTTGAAGAACATAATGTGAAATGAGATCTATTTATTGATATCTCATAGCATAAACATAGCACTGGGTGTGTTCATCTTTTTCCTCATAAAAGCCATATATAATTAAAGGAATAGTTCTTCCAAAAATGAACATTTGCTGAAAATTTACTCACCCTCAGGCCATCCAAGATGTAAATGAGTTTGTTTCTCCATTGGAACAGATTTGGAGAAATGTAACCTTACATCCTTGCTCACTGATGGACCCTCTTCAGTGAATGGGTGCCGTCAGAATGAGAGTCTAAACAGCTGATAAAAACTTAACAACCCACAGGTAATCCACACGACTCCAGTCCATCTATTAACATCTTGTGTTTTTGTAAGAAACAAGCAGTGTTGGGGAGTAACTTGTTACATGTAACGGCGTTACGTAATTTAATTACAAAATAAATGTAACTGTAATCAGTTACAGTTACTAAGAAAAAATGTGTAATTAAATTACAGTTACTTATGAAAATGTTAACGATTACAAATGGGATTACATTTGAATATTTACACACATCCACATACAGATTTAATTGATTTCTTTCCCAAACTGCACTGATTACTCTGAGACATAATTTCCGCGATGTGGAAAACACAGACTGGTTCGTAGAATCCAGTCATAAAAACGGAATTCCTATAGC